CCAGGTCTCTCCTCGTCAGCACATTTGAGTCCCCCACTTCACTTCAAGAGGATTTCATCACTGCCATCCAACGGAACATTTACAACCTCCATCAAGCCCCTGAACTGCAGTGCAGGAGTGTCGCATTCTTGATGGCTAATCCACCCTCAGAACCATCACCCACGCAAGTCAACATCGCGTCAGAGGATGATAGGGATGTTTTCCTAGCATGCCTCAAGGAATTTAAGGAGCTCGGTCAGAAGCTGGATCACATCATCACCTCAGCTGAACGTCAGAGGCCCGATCATCACACCCTCGGCGCCTCAGCTGAACCAGTGGGCGATGTCCAATGCACGTATGCATTCTTCCCATCTTAACCGTTCCCCCGCTGAGTGCACTATCTGTTCTTGTCAGCGCATTCCAGTCCTGAAATTAACGAAGATGAACAGTTTGAGTCATTTCAGCGGTAAGTTGCGATTGAAACCGATCATCTAACTGGCGGCCGCTGATTCACCTTGTAGCGGGATGGAGGAACTCAGTGGTGTTGTACAAAGCGTTGCCGACGGCGTCAAGGAACTCAAATCTGCGTATCGACTGGTTCGAGTATCGGAGGCACTTTGCTCCCGCTTGGCTCTCGTCTTCTATACCCTCGCTGCCATTGCTTTTCCGTCATCTAATGCCAAACTGAAGACGCAATGGCTCAGCCAGCCATCACAGATCGATGAAAGTGTTTTGCCTCTCGATGAGGCCGCTACGACTGACGTAGGAACTATCGCTGAGAGGCTTCAGAAGCTTGGCCAATGTGTTGATGTCTTCAATACTACTTTGAAAGGCCTCCCCGGGTTTCACGATGTTCCAGGCTATAATGCAAGTGGCCTTGACGCCTCATTGCAAAATTTCGCTCAAGATCTGAATTATTGGGGTCGTAACTTGAGTAACTTCCGTGGTTAGTTTCTTGCTTGTTTCATGTCTGATCCTGGTAACTAGTGACTAGCCCTATGTTACAGGGCAAGTCCATCGGCACCACATCCTGGTGCACGTCGCCACCGTACCGGGTAAGATAATACATCATCTAGGTGAGATCACAGACGCTCTCAAGATATTCATTCGGTTGGGTCAGTGTCCTTGCATCACAAAAGTAATTTGGCACCACCAAAAACTGATAAGACGTTTGGCAGGTTTGCCGATTGTATTACATTCTGAACGAGACCCAACATTCCAAAATCTGTCAACAGTGGCAACACTCTTTGCGAGTGTATCTGCATCGACCATTCACTTGAGGCAAGTCGTTCGAGCTTGTGCCTTGAAAACCCGTGACAGCTTCGCTGCCGTGATCTAGCTATACGCAAACGGATACGAGGATTGATCAGGCGGTCAATATCCTTTGGATCGTCTCGCTTGTTTTTGCCATCGCGAGTGCCATCAACAGTCAACTCAGTTATCAGTTGAGTTTGAAGCCACGTCGATACAACTTGTTTACGAGTTGATCATCTTCTTTAGATGGTCCTCGATGATATTCATGACCCCCCTTTCAACTCTCCCTTGGCAGAGATCCCTGTGGACTCGCCGAGCGCCTCTCATCTTTCTTGTTCTATCCGTCATATCGTTAGCAAAACACTTTTCATTGTTAGGATGACTTGGCTTATACAACGAGTGTACTGCTCCAGGTTCTCCGCGGGCATTGTCTGCTTCACATTCTCTCATTTTGCTCACCACCCGATCATCCCGTTCTGCGTCACGGCTGCTTCAGCAGTCTCAGCAGCGGGACTGCTCTTCGTCGGGACCTGGTTCATTGCGGAGTATTTGTCATTTGGGAGTGGGACGAATACAGGAGTACGCACAACAGCCTCTGGGTATCATCGAGCTGTTTCTGACCAATTTTTTTGTCGCATGTAAAGGATTACTCGTCTCCTTCAGCATGGGATTTGGCGAGGGATGGAGTTCTGAATGGTTTTCGATGGTGAGTCCGGGTGAAGAGTAGATATCTAGTTCTAATTTCTCCATTCCGATGCGGATGAAATCGTGACCCGACCTGTCTCGTATCTCGTATCAAGGTCCTATCAGTCAGTTAAATCATGGTGCTCCAACTATCGAGTGTGGTTCCTCCTGACATTCGGGTATCTACTCTTACTGATTTGTTTGACATATGATGGGGCTAATTGCGTCTAGCATTGCTGTCTTTCCTATAACTTTGATCGTCATTTGTTTTAATTTTTCTCTCGAAATGTCGGCCATACTTTCCGACTTACTAAGGGAAATCCTGGGGAAACTCGCACAATATCAGCGGCGCCAACGAGACTCAACCACACGCAATTCCATTCTCCCTACGACGTTCGATATCCCAATCCGACGCAATGCTCGGATGGAGACGCGAGGAGATAATGACCAACCACCATCCAATGTTGGAGGTCAGCCCTGCTCATCTATCGTTCTGTACACGAGAGACCCTACTCCCTGAATCTGACACACTCGCAGCTAATGATGCTGAGGCGCGTGCGGTCACTCAGCTCAGACTGGACATCAGAACAATCCAACGGAGCCTGGAACTAGGCGATGGTCCCTCGAACCCAACCTCTCCCGCTCAGAAATTTCGTAGTGCAGTCATCAAAGTAATCATGGAAAGACGTCGTGCTAGGGCGGAGGCCAAACGGGGGATGGAATTGGCACTACAATTATTGTCTCCAACTCCATCGACACAGGAGCACAACGCAATAATCCATGACATCAATTTTTCTCCCGACGGCCGTTACTGTAGGTGAAATCCGTCTTTGTAAAGACAAGATTGCTGAATACCAACATGGATATGGTTGTTACTTTTTCAGCGCACGAAGACAATGTATTCATCTGGGAAGCGAACCAAATGGAAGTGAGGGTCATTGAGCGAGTGGATTTGCGGTGGCGCGGATTTGATCTCCAGTTTGGAGATCGCATGAAAACAATTCAAGTAATGTTGTTGAGAGAGAGTCGAGTGATAATAATTAAAGTATGTCTTACCAGCTAACCCCAAGCCCCAACTGCACGCCGCCTACCAGGGATCGTGGCTTCAGCAATTTCTACAGGGGTGGAGGCTACGGTGGTTCCTAGCACCTCTATGGTTTCAGAGGCCTCAGAAAATTTTGCGGCTCTTTGCGTTTCTGTGGCTTCAGCGGCTTGGGAGACTTGAGCGGCTTCGGTGGCTTCGGTGGCTTGAGCGGCTCCAACAACTCCAGCGGTTTCAGCGGCTTGAGTGGCTTCGGTGGCGCGAGCAGTTCCAGCAACTCCAGCGACTTCAGGGGTTCCGGTGGCTTCGGTGGTTTGAGTGGATTCAGGGGTCTCAGCCAACTGACTTCGTTGGTCGCTTCCTGCGGTTTGTGGGATTTCTGGCGATTCTGGGGCGTCAAGGGCCTCAGTGGCTTCAGCCGGTGGGTGCTATAAAGCGGCTCAACTGGGTTTCCGATGTCGGTAGGAATTTTTCAGGGTGGGAAGAGCGCACATCCAAGGCCGCCCACTCTTAATTTAGGGATTTGGACTGAAGCTTTTACAGGGCACACGTCTCCCTTTTGGAGAGGATTTTGACTACGCACTCGAGGATGTTGTTCTCACCCGGGATGGAACCAAGTGAGCTTCTATCTCATATAACACATGATGTCACGGAGCTGGATTTCATATATGCAGGTTATTTGGCATAGCTACAGTGAATGTAACGGCGGACAAAGATTATCCGAAGCCATCAAAATCACCTTCAGAATGTCGAATCATTAGTAAGTGTATTGATGATGATGAGAAACTGATTAATATTATTGCAGTCTATGATGTCGAGACAAAGAAGACTGTTTTGTAAGTTTGTTAGGTGTTTATGGACCAGCCATGTCATATATGTTATAGCGAATTTCCCACCTTTGACTCCATACGGAGGATGGGCTTATCTTACTCAGGCAAGCGTTTACTTGTCATGTCTGATGGCAATGTACAGTGTCACATTCTTTCTATAATGTTGCACCTTACTTATTACATGCTTTCACTCTAGACGCCACCGCGCCTGTTCCTAGTTTACCCTACCTCGCTTGTCCCATTGCACACATTCTACCTTCCAGATAAGACGGAATACCCTATTTATGGCCAGTTTGGAATTCGGAGCTCTGCCCTCGTGGCAGATGGGTCCGAGGAAGATCAAATCATTATTTGCGCTAACAAACGTAAGGCCTCCGATCACTGAATATATATCCCCCAGTGCTGACACTTGATTCTAACCCCTTAATCTGTAGGAGGGAAAGTTTTCATATGGCACCGGGAGTCGTATCGCCTCTTGCACTCGTTCACAATCTCGATTCCTGGAGGCGCTGAAGTCAGTGGGGTGACTTTTGGCTGTGAGCGCTCGGCGGACTACAGCTATCTCAGGATAGTAGCTGCATGCACCGGTGGAACCGTCATTATGTGGAGCACGACATGGAATCACCTTAATTCTCCCATCCTCACTGACGAATTACCGCAAGCGACCAGTGCAGCTACTGGAGGATCAACTACCGAAGAAGTTATTGAAGGGGAGGTGTCAACTAACTTGAGATTGTTATGGAGGTTTAGGTCGCATGCAAATTACTCCCTCCATCATGCATGGCCCTCCGACTTCTCATACTATTCTTTTGTTTTCGTAACTCCTGTGGTCCAGTACTCCGATCGTAGGACCTATATACCAAATGCTAAATGGAGGAAATATTATCTTGGTGGTAGGGCACGATCGCTTCTTTGCATGTATTACACATCCCTGTGCCTTAGCTAGTTTGACTAATCGCTTCTTGAATCATCATAGTCATTACATATCGACACTCTTCGTAAAGTTCTTGTTCTGACCTTACTGTGATTTTATTCCATCAGCACAGGCTGGATCGTCGTCGCGGAAGCCACCCATCGTTCGGACGTGCCGGCCTTACTGTTCATACTTCCTTCTTTTCCAACTGGGTACATAAACAAAGTACATACTTGAATATGATGTTCATTCAAGGTTCAATGGTGTGGTTCCGGCCGGCCCGCGCGCGGTATCCTTGCCAAAATTGGAAATAGATTCTCCCAACCAGTTCAATTGCAAGCGCGTACAGACTGGGCGACAGCGCACTTGCGTTACTAGATTGTAGTCGAAGATCGGGCGATCGGGCACTGATAGGCCTTAGGCCACTGTGGAGTAAGTATCGACTACCCCGTTTGGCAGATAACGTAGAATCGACCACTCACTAGGGTTCCTCTCAAGGAAAAGGTGGAAACCGAGTAACAATTGAATGAGAGGCCTCAACCGGCATTTCTACACGCGGGCCAGCCTCTATCATGCATTTACAATGAATGGCTGATCTTTGTTCTAACCGGCAGCCTTGACATCTGGCTTGCCACTGTGAAGTGGTGGACTGCCCTCACCTAAGTCTCTCCTCGTCAGCGCATTACTCCTACTAGCTTCACTTCAGGACAATTTCATCGCTGCACACCATCATTTTTCAACCCTCGTCAGCAGGAGCAGTGTCGCTTCCTTGATGGCACCCCCAGAACCAACACTCACGCAACAAGCCGACGTCACAGCAGAGGATGATAGGAATGTTTTCCTAGCTTGCCTCAAAGAATTTAAGGAGCTCGGCCAGAAGCTAGATCGCATCATCACCTCAGCTGAACGTCAGAAGCCCGATCACATCAGTGCCTCAGCTGAACCAGTGAGCGATATTGCTCATCCATGTACGAATTTTTAACTATCCCTCTGTGAGAGTGCACCTTCGGATGACTTAATTCTATCTTTGTTAGCGCATTCTAGCCCGGGAAATGAGGACATCGAGGATATCCAGTTTGAGGGATTTCAGCGGTAAGGAAACCCAGTCAACTTGTGACGAAACCCATCATCGAACTGGCCGCTGATCCACCTTGTAGCGGGATGGCGAAGCTCAGCAGAGTTGTGACACACATCGCTGACACTGTCAGGAATCTCAAATCCGCGTATCATCTGATTCGAATATCGGAAGAATTTCGCTCTCGCTTGGCATTGGTTTTCCGTATTCTGCCCCTCATTGCTTCTCCATCATCAAGTGCCAAACTGAAGGAGCAGTGGCTTGATCGGCCATCGTCCTCCTTACCCATGCAGTATTGGACGCCAGCGCAAGTCATCCGCGAGAGTATTTATCTTGATGAGACTATCACTAGTACTCCCGATCGAAAAACTCTCTCTACGGGACTTCAGAAGCTTGGCCAAGGAGTTGATGTCTTCAATGCTGCTCTGAAAGGCCTTCCTGGGTTTCATGATATTCCAAGGTATAACGCAAAGGAGATTGACCTCTCATTGCAAAATTTCGCTCAAGATCTGAAATATTGGGGTCGTAACTTGAACAACTTCCATGGCTAGTTTCTTGTTCTCATATCGAATCCGATCCCGGTAACTAATCGACCAACCCAATGTCACAGGAGAAACACTTTTGCACCACGTTCGGGCACACGTCGCCATCATTCCGGGAAAAATAGCAGATCACCTAGTTGGGGTCACAGGCGCTCTTGAGACATTCATTCACTTGGGTCAGATCCTTGCATTGACTGTCACTACCATATTGATATAAGGTGTATGGCAGGTTTGCCGATTGTATTACGTTCTGAACGGGATTCAACATTTCAAAATTTGTCAACAGTCGCAGCACTCTTTGCGAGTGTATCCGCAACGACCATTCAATTCAGGCGAGTTTGTTCGAACTTGTGCTTTAGGACGCGCCGCGACAACTCTGCTGCCATGATCTAGCTACACACAAGCGGGTACGGGGATCGAACAGGCAGTCAACGTCCTCTGGATCGTCTCGCTTGTTTTTGCCATTGCGAGTGCCATCAACAGTCAACTGAGTTATCAGTAAGTTTGTAACATGCCGATCCGAGTTTACGCAATCATCTCCTTTAGATGGACCTCAGTTGTATTCTCGACTCCGATGTCGGCGCTCTCATGGTGGGGATCCCTGTGGATTCGCCGGATGCCTCTCATCTTTCTTATTCTATCCGTAATATCGTTAGTGAGCTTCCGTCGTCACAATGACTGGCCTGTATCATGAGTTTTACACTCCAGGTTCTCCGTGGGCATTGTGTGCTTCACATTCTCTAATTTTGCGAGTCACCCAATCATCCCAGTCTGTGTTACGGTTGCTTCAGTAATCTCGGCAGCAGCACTGTTCTACGTCGGACTCTGGTTCATTGTAGAGTATCTTGCATTTGGGAGCAGAAAGAAGACAGGGGTACGCCTAACAGCTTCTAAATATTAACAAGCCGTTAATTTTTCTGCCGCACGTAAGGACGAACTTGATTATTTGTCCGGTTCAGCATGGGATTTGGTGAGCAATTGGGTTCTGAAAGTTCTTCGAAGGTGAGTCCGGGTCAAGAGTAACTATCTATTTCTAATTTCTCCATTTTGATGCGGACGAAATTGTGACCCGACTTGTCTCGTATCTCGTACCAAGGGCCTATCGCTCAGCTGCACTGTGGTACTTTACATATGAAGAGTGGTTCCTCCCGATATTCTGGTATTTGCTCTTACTGATTTGCGTGACATATGATGGGCCTAATTGTGTTCAGTATCGCTGTCTTGCCTATAACTTTACTCGTCATCTTCTGTCTTTTTCTTTGCGCGAAATTCCACGAAGAGATCGACGAAATATGGGGAGATGTCTGTGATTGGTTTCGGCGGATTAAGAATCTCGCACAACGTTGGTGCCAACAACGCTTAACCACACGCCCTTCCATTCTCCCTACGACGTCCAATACCCCAGCCAGGCGAATTGTGATGGAGACGCGAGAAGATGATGACCAACCGCCGTCCAATGTTGGAGGTCAGCCCTGCTCATCTATCGTCCTGTACACGAATGACCCTACTCCCTGAAGTTGACACACTCTCAGGTAATGATGCTGAGGCACATGCGATCTCTCAGTTCAAATTAGGTATCAGGGCGATCCACCAGAACTTGGAACTAGGCGAGGGTCCCTCAAATCCAACTACTCCCATCCAGAAATTTCGTAATGCTGCGATGAGGGTAATTATGGCAAAACGTCATGCTAGGGCAGAACTCAGAAAGAAGATGGAGTCAATGGGACCAGCACTGAAGATTTTATCACCCGTTCAGTCATCACGGGAGCATACGACGATGATCCATGACATTAATTTTCATTACAATGGCCGTTGCCGTAGGTCAAACATATCTCTTGTAGAACCACACCATTGCTGATGCTAGTAGTTGTTACTTTTTCGAGGGAAGATGACAATATATTATTCTGGGAATTGGACCAAATGGAAGTGATGGTTATTGACCGAGTGGATATGCGGCGGCACGGATTTAGTCCTGCCCAGGAGTTGATCGGAACCTGGTCCCAGTCTCGGGATCACATGAGAGCGTTGAGAGTGACATTACTGAGAGAGAATCGAGTATTGATCATTGGTGGACTGGTATGCCTTGCTGGCTAACTCCGATTCTCACGATCTCATTGTCTAGCAGGGGTGGCGGCTTTGGCGGCTTCGGCGTCTTCGGAAGCTGGGTACTATAAAGCACATCAACTGGGTTCCCGAGGTCACCCCAAGCCCCTCACTCTTGATTTGGAATTTGGACTGAATCTTTTGCCTGTATCTCAGATCTCGAGACTCGTTCCTTGGGTTGGTCTTGACTACGCACTAGAGGATGCGGTTCTCACCCCGGATGGAACGAAGTGAGCTTCTATTCATAGCACAAATGATGCCAAGGCGCTGAATTTTATCACTGCAAGGTTATTGGGAATAGCTACATTGGGTTCAACGGCCGACAAAAATCATCTTAAGCCATCAAGATCCCCTCCAGAATGTCGAATCATCAGTAAGTGTATTAATGATGATAATCCAGAAAGTGGTTAATATCATTCGAACAGTCTGCGATGCCTGGGAGGATGAGATTGATTTGTAAGTTTTATTAGGTGTTTATGGACAGACATGTCATATGTTTTGTAGCGAAATTCCGACTTTCGACCCCATACGGAGGATGAGCTTATCTTACTCAGGCAAGCGTTTGCTTGTTATGTCCGATGGCAGTGTACAGTATTCTATCTATATTTCCCACCTTACTTGTTACATGCTTTCATTCTAGACGCCACCTCGCCTGTTCCGAGTTTACCCTACCTGGCTTGTCCCATTGCACACATTTGACCTTCCAGATGCAGATGGGAAGTACCCTATCTATGGCCAGTTTGGGATTCGGAGCCCTGCCCCCGTGGCAGGTGAGTCCGAGGAAGATCAAATCATCACTTGCGCTAACAAAGGTATGGCTCCAATCGGCGAGCGTTCCCTAGTGCTGATCCTTCTAATCTTAGGGGGGGGATCTTCATATGGCACCGTGAATCCTATCGTCTCCTGCACTCGTTCGAAATTCCGATTCCCTGGGGCACTGAAGTCAGTGGGGTGACTTTCGGCTGTGAGCGCTTGGAGGCCTACAGCTATCTGAAGGTGGCTGCTGCATGCACCGATGGAACTGTCATCATGTGGGGCTCGAAGTGGGATCACCCTAATCCTTCCGTTCTCACTGACGAATTACCGCGAGCGACCAGTGAAACTACTGGAGGAACCATCGAAGAAGTTATTGAAGGGGCGGATGGAGTTGTCGACGAAGATATTATTACGGAGGTTTAAATTGCATGCAAATCCCTCCGTTATGGCCTTCCGACACCTCATACTGTTCTTCGTTTTCGTGTGGTCCAGTTCCCCGATGGTAGGACCTATATATCTAATGGAGGAAAGATTATCTCGTTAGTATGGCACAATTGCTTCTCTGCATGTGCATATGTATTGCACCTCCCTGTGCCTCAGCTAGTTCGATTTACTTCTTGAGTCATCGGAATCATTACATGTCGCCATTCGTCGTGAAGTCCCCGATCGTCGTCGAAACCACCCACCGATCGGACGTACCTTACTGTTCATTTCTCATATTCCTGCATCTTCCATGCATGGTTCAAACAAAATGATGTTGGTTCAACGCCCAACGGTGTGGTCCCGGCTCGAGGCATCCTTGCCAAAATTGGAAATGGATTCTCACAACCACTTTGCATGCAAGCCCCCGTACCGAATAAGTATCGACTACCCTGTTTGGCAGAGAACGTAGAATCGACTACTGACAAGGTTTCCTCTCAAGGAAAAATGGGAATTGAATGAGAGGCCTCACCGACATTTTATGGCATGCGGGTCAGCCTCTATCATGTATATATGTATTTCCAATTAATCGCTGACCTTTGTCCTACCGGCAGCATTGACATCTAGGAGCGGGGATTACCACTGTGAACTAGTGGACTGCCCTCACCCAAGTCTCTCCTCGTCAGCACATTTGAGTTCCCCCACTTCACTTCAGGAGAATTTCATCAGTGCCATCCAACGGAACATTTACAACCTCCATCAAGCCCCTGAACTGCAGTGCAAGAGTGTCGCTTCCTTGATGGCTAATCCACCCTCAGAACCATCACCCACGAAAGTCAACATCGCAGCAGAGGATGATAGGGATATTTTCCTAGCATGCCTCAAGGAATTCAAGGAGCTCGGTCAGAAGCTGGATCGCATCATCACCTCAGCTGAACGGAGTCAGAGGCCCGATCATCGCACCCTCGGCGCCTCAGCTGAACCAGTGGGCGATGTTCAATGCACGTATGCATTCTTCCCATCTTAACCGTTCCCCCGCTGAGTGCACTATCTGTTCTTGTCAGCGCATTCCAGTCCTGAAATTAACGAAGATGAACAGTTTGAGGCATTTCAGCGGTAAGTTTTGTGATGAAACCGATCATCTAACTGGCGGCCGCTGAATCACCTTGTAGCGGGATGAAGGAACTCAGCGGCGTTGTGCAAAGCGTTGTCGACGGCGTCAAGGAACTCAAATCTGCGTATCGACTGGTTCGAGTATCGGAGGCACTTTGCTCTCGCTTGGCTCTCGTTTTCTATACCCTCGTTTCCATTGCTTTCCCGTCATCTAATGCCAAACTGAAGACGCAATGGCCCAGCCAGCTATCACGGATCGATGAAAGTGTTCTTCCTCTCGATGAGGCCGCTACGACTGACGCAGGAACTATCTCTGAGAGGCTTCAGAAGCTTGGCCAATGTGTTGATGTCTTCAACGCTACTTTGAAAGGCCTCCCCGGGTTTCACGATGTTCCAGGCTATAATGCAAGTGGCCTTGACGCCTCATTGAAAAATTTTGCTCAAGATCTGAATTATTGGGGTCGTAACTTGAGTAACTTCCGTGGTTAGTTTCTTGCTTGTTTCATGTCTGATCCTGGTAACTAGTGACTAGCCCTATGTTACAGGGCAAGTCCATCGGCACCACATCCTGGTGCACGTCGCCACCGTACCGGGTAAGATAATACATCATCTAGGTGAGATCACAGACGCTCTCAAGATATTCATTCGGTTGGGTCAGTGTCCTTGCATCACAAAAGTAATTTGGCACCACCAAAAACTGATAAGACGTTTGGCAGGTTTGCCGATTGTATTACATTCTGAACGAGACCCAACATTCCAAAATCTGTCAACAGTGGCAACACTCTTTGCGAGTGTATCTGCATCGACCATTCACTTGAGGCAAGTCGTTCGAGCTTGTGCCTTGAAAACCCGTGACAGCTTCGCTGCCGTGATCTAGCTATACGCAAACGGATACGAGGATTGATCAGGCGGTCAATATCCTTTGGATCGTCTCGCTTGTTTTTGCCATCGCGAGTGCCATCAACAGTCAACTCAGTTATCAGTTGAGTTTGAAGCCACGTCGATACAACTTGTTTACAAGTTGATCATCTTCTTTAGATGGTCCTCGATGATATTCATGACCCCCCTTTCAACTCTCCCTTGGCAGAGATCTCTGTGGACTCGCCGAGCGCCTCTCATCTTTCTTGTTCTATCCGTCATATCGTTAGTAAATCACTTTTCATTGTTAGGATGACTTGGCTTATACAATGAGTGTACTGCTCCAGGTTCTCTGCGGGCATTGTCTGCTTCACATTCTCTCATTTTTCTCACCACCCGATCATCCCGTTCTGCGTCACGGCTGCTTCAGCAGTCTCAGCAGCAGGACTGCTCTTCGTCGGGACCTGGTTCATTGCGGAGTATTTGTCATTTGGGAGCGGGACGAATACAGGAGTACGCATAACAGCTTCTGGGTATCATCGAGCTGTTTCTGACCAATTTTTCTGTCGCATGTAAAGGATTACTCGGCTCCTTCAGCATGGGAGTTGGCGAGGGATGGAGTTCTGAATGGTTTTCGATGGTGAGTCCGGGTGAAGAGTAGATATCTATTTCTAATTTCTCCATCCCGATGTGGATGAAATCGTGACCCGACCTGTCTCGTATCTCGTATCAAGGTCCTATCAGTCAGTTAAATCATGGTGCTCCAACTATCGAGTGTGGTTCCTCCTCACATTCGGGTATCTGCTCTTACTGATTTGTTTGACATATGATGGGGCTAATTGCGTCTAGCATTGCTGTCTTTCCTATAACTTTGATCGTCATTTGTTTTAATTTTTCTCTCGAAATGTCGGCCATACTTTCCGACTTACTAAGGGAAATCCTGGGGGAACTCGCACAATATCAGCGGCGCCAACGAGACTCAACCACACGCAATTCCATTCTCCCTACGACGTTCGATGTCCCAATCCGACGCAATGCTCGGATGGAGACGCGAGGAGATAATGACCAACCACCATCCAATGTTGGAGGTCAGCCCTGCTCATCTATCGTTCTGTACACGAGAGACCCTACTCCCTGAATCTGACACACTCGCAGGTAATGATGCTGAGGCGCGTGCGGTCACTCAGCTCAGACTGGATATCAGAACAATCCAACGGAGCCTGGAACTAGGCGATGGTCCCTCGAACCCAACCTCTCCCGCCCAGAAATTTCGTAGTGCAGTCATCAAAGTAATCATGGAAAGACGTCGTGCTAGGGCGGAGGCCAAACGGGGGATGGAATTGGCACTACAATTTTTGTCTCCAACTCCATCGACACAGGAGCACAACGCAATGATCCATGACATCAATTTTTCTCACGACGGCCGTCACTGTAGGTCGAACTCGTCTTGGTAGAAACAAGATCGCTGAATATCAACATGCGTATATATAGTTGTTACCTTTTCAAGGGTTGAAAACAATGTATTCATCTGGGAAGTGAACCAAATAGAAGTGAGGGTCATTGAGCGAGTGGATTTGCAGCCGCGCGGATTTGATCTCCAGTTCGGAGATCGCATGAAAACAATTCAAGTGATGTTATTGAGAGAGAGTCGAGTGATAATAATTAAAGTATGTCTTACCAGCTAACCCCAAGCAGAGCATCAACTGCACGATCTCATGCTGTCTACCAGGGATCGTGGCTTCAGCAATTTCTACAGGGGTGGAGGCTACGGTGGTTCCTAGCACCTCTATGGTTTCAGAGGCCTCAAAAGTTTTTGCGGCTCTTTGCGTTTCTGTGGCTTCAGCGGCTTGGGAGACTTGAGCAGCTTCGGTGGCTTCGGTGGCTTGAGCAGCTCCAACAACTCCAGCGGTTTCAGCGGCTTGAGCGGCTTCGGTGGCGTGAGCGGTTCCAGTAACTCCAGCGACTCCAGGGGTTCCGGTGGCTTCGGTGGTTTGAGTGGATTCAGGGGTCTCAGTCACCTGACTTCGTTGGTCGGTTCCTGCGGTTTGTGGGATTCCTGGCGATTCTGGGGCGTCAAGGGCCTCAGTGGCTTCAGCCGGTGGGTGCTATAAAGCGGCTCAACTGGGTTTCCGATGTCGATAGGAATTTTTCAGGGTGGGAAGAGCGCACATCCAAGGCTGCCCACTCTTGATTTGGGATTTGGACTGAAGCTTTTACAGGGCACACGTCTCCCTTTTGGAGAGGATTTTGACTACGCACTCGAGGATGTTGTTCTCACCCGGGATGGAACCAAGTGAGCTTCTATCTCATATAACACATGATGTCACGGAGCTGGATTTCATATATGCAGGTTATTTGGCATAGCTACAGTGAATGTAACGGCGGACAAAGATTATCCGAAGCCATCAAAATCACCTTCAGAATGTCGAATCATTAGTAAGTGTATTGATGATGATGAGAAACTGATTAATATTATTGCAGTCTATGATGTCGAGACAAAGAAGACTGTTTTGTAAGTTTGTTAAGTGTTTATGGACCAGCCGTGTCATACATGTTGTAGCGAATTTCCCACCTTCGACTCCATACGGAAAATGAGCTTATCTTACTCGGGCAAGCGTTTACTTGTTATGTCTGATGGCAATGTACAGTGTCACGTTCTTTCTATAATCTTGCACCTTACTTATTACATGCTTTCACTCTAGACGCCACCGCGCCTGTTCCTAGTTTACCCTACCTCGCTTGTCCTATTGCACACATTTGACCTTCCAGATGAGACGGAATACCCAATTTATGGCCAGTTTGGAATTCGGAGCCCTGCCCTCGTGGCAGATGGGTCCGAGGAAGATCAAATCATTATTTGCGCTAACAAACGTAAGGCCTCCGATCACTGAATATATATCCCCCAGTGCTGACACTTGATTCTAACCCCTTAATCTGTAGGAGGGAAAGTTTTCATATGGCACCGGGAGTCGTATCGCCTCCTGCACTCGTTCACAATTTCGATCCCTGGAAGCGCTGAAGTCAGTGGGGTGACTTTTGGCTGTGAGCGCTTGGCGGACTACAGCTATCTCAGGATAGTAGCTGCATGCACCGACGGAACCGTCATTATGTGGAGCACGACATGGAATCACCTTAATCCTCCCATCCTCACTGACGAATTACCGCAAGCGACCA